TGTGGGCCTGCTATGCCCTCGGGGTGCGCCAGGCTTATCAGGGCTTAGGAAGGGAGGTTAGGGCCCGAGAGGGGCGATCCCAGCGCCCTTCCTCTTGTCGCAGCCCCTTTGTCATGTAAGCGTGCCGCCATTCAGGGCCAGACTTCAGAGGGCTCTGCCGGGGAGGAATACACAAAAGGGGTGAAAGCAGCCGGAGCGGCCAGGACGGTGCCTGTCACAGACCGGCCGGCAACGGAGGCGGCCGGAGCCGCTTACAGCCCGTCCCTGGCACACGGGCACCGTCAGATTCCGTTGCATTTACTGCACAGCGCATTGATGGGCCAGAGCCCTGACTCGAACGGCACCTCTCTGCTCCGAAGTGGGCCCCCGTAGCAGATGAGATTATCTTTTGCCGTGGGGTTCATGATAAACCTACATGCCGTCATATTTTTACGGCACATCACTTTCTTTCGTTACGCTGATCAGACGTAGATTCGGTGTGAAATACTTCCCTTACGAAGAAATGCAGAAAATGAGTTTTCAGCAGGCGTAGATTTCATTATTGGTACTGATTTCGTTAACCACCGCTTTTCCCTCTGCTAGTCAGCAGATACAAAGAACATGCACAACTTCTGTAAGATGCAAGAAAGTCCGGGGAAGGTGTTTGGTTCATTAAATTCCCTAGGAACCCAAAATTACTCATTTTGTTTAGAAAAGGAGCTGCTTTTGCCATGGAAAACTAAAACATATACCACAGTCCATTAAAATGGCAGCTTCTGCAATAGCAAGTCACTTTTGCTCTGCACTTGAATCTTTAGGGAGACTCGTTCCTCCGTTTCATTAAAAACAGTGCTTAAAAACATTTTTTTAGATGTTGTTTTATCTGAGAAGACTGGTTGGACAGTACAAATATGGTCAGCTTTTTACCTAATTATAGGAGTAATTTGAGTCCATTTAATGCCTTGCTTGAGTTTAATTTGTCTCCTTTGGAATTACTGCCATTTTTCTGATCAATTCAGATGTGCCCTGTCCTTCGTGCAAGTCAATACTCATGAAAATCAAGCTGATCAGGAAAGAAAGAGGGGCATTCAGAGCAACTGCCTGCCTGCATAGCCAGCCCCAAAATACACTGTGTGAATTAATGAGCCATAAGGAGGAAGGCGTATTAACAAACAACCACATCAAGGAATTCTTTTCTTTCTCCTCTTAGCTGGATATATTGGATTAAAAGCCACTATGACTGACTCACAGATGCGAAAGTTTTGCATGCTTACGTCCCGCTTGTAGGTCAATAAGACTACAACAATTGAGACAGCAAGATGGTTTCAGTGAAAAGAATCTAATTTGTTTTGCTGGCAACACAGGGCAGTTCACGCTGTATGCTTTATACATACCCTATTATTGACAGCAAGACTGTTTCTAGTTTGAACTTGTGAACCCGTTTGTTAGGACTGTTGAGACAGGAAAACAACGACGACGACGACTACCACGCAAGCAATGTCAAACTTTTATTTCAAACTTTTGCAATACTGCGTTACTGATTGATACGGAGAAATCGGTATGGATTTCAGAGAGAGGAGAAAACCTCCCAGCAGTTTCTTCTCTTTATACAAACATAATACTGCAACTTTACAGCAATCAGAACCCTGTCTCTAAAATACTTCTGCGTAACTGCAAGCGGTTTAAAAAAAAAAAAAAGGCTAAGTTTTGATATTGTTGACTTATTTCTGAACTATAGTCTGCCCTCATGATTTCAAGTTCTATTGTAGTAAAAATTTCCAGCTATGTGGACCCATAGTGTGCTGTCATCAACATACAAAATACACCATTAAACTTCATGTGGTTTTGAGTCCCATGACCACAAATTAAAGTTATAGGAATGAGAAACAACACGTGGAAGAGTGAAATAGGTACAAGTGGCCCAGAGTCACACAAAGAGCAGAAACTCGAAGCAGGTGCTGGAGAAGGGAAAATCAAGTGCCTTCATTTTCAAAACAGGTCATTCCCGACACGGACACCAGTGAAGCACAGTTCATCAGAATGAAGATGAGGCTTTTCTGATTCATATTTGAAAGATTCAAGTTTTTATCCGTCTGCACGAACGAGACTTAACTTTGTTTAAAACACTTCTTAGAAACTGCTTCACTCAAGTTGTCTTTTCCCTTTCCGTCGTTTTAAAAACGAGAATTATTTCAGCTAGCACAAGCTGGGCACAATCAACTTCACAGGCAACCGTTCCTTACACGCTGCCTATCCCAGCAAAAAGCATATTTAGAGGGGGCTTTTGAATCAGTTTGTTTTACAGGACTACATCAAGTTGGTTTGTTTTTTTTTTTTTATTTTGTTTTGCTTTTTTAAGCACCTTGTGTGCCACAGAGCACGCTCTGAAAAAACACACACATCTGCACAGTAAAATCGTTTTCCTGTCTGGTTGGGTTTTTATACCGATCTCAAGCAACGACTGTTTCTGTTGTGCAGGCTTGTTTTTTGACACTTTCCTACTGTGTCTATTAAGATGTTAACAAGCAGTAAGCAGTGTGGAAAAAAAAAAGACCCAAGGCATACACCAGTACCGGAAACCACTGGGCAGAACAGAAATGATGTCTAATAGAAGAAAACCTTTTTGCTTGTTTCTGAGAGGCACTTATGAAAAAGAGATCCAGATTAAGAGGTCCAGACACCAAAGAGGCACTGGTACATATCAAACTGACATGCAAAAGGTATAAAGATGCTTTCCTGCAAGATGCATGGCCTAGCGGCTGGGCCATCGAAACAGGAATTAGAAATTTTCCTTTCAGTGCCAAGCTCTTACCGACTTGAGTAGTTAGTTGGTCCTGGGCAGAGATTTCCACTGCGTGCCTCGGTTTCTCCATCTGTAAGGACAGCTCTAGCACTTGACCTCTTTGCTGAAACGCCTTCAGGTGCATATACAGAAATCAATAAATAACACATGAATCTTACTGGTTTGGTGACAGATCCTTTAAAAAAATTAGACCCTTCTCCCCACATTCCATAAAGAACTAGAAATATTTATAGGATTAAAAAAACTTTTTTTTTTTTTTTTTTTTAAACACAATGTTTAGGAAGTAAAATTCAACAAGACAGTTCAATTTTGTTGCTAACCAGTTCGACATGTTTCACATGTTTCTACAGTGAATCCAACAGCGCAGAAAAGGGTATATTTCAGCGCCTGTAAAACCAAATTTGGCAATATTTGCACTACAGAATCGTAGGCCAGACATTTTAGCTTTTAATTAAAACAGTGGAACACAACACTAGCTCTAAATTTCTTAGCCCTTACTGTTTACTTATCAATCCTTTTCAGCTCCAGAGAATGAAAACTCAGATTTTTTTGTGCTTGGTGAAGGCAATCAGTTCCTGTTCTTACCACCTTCTCCCTCCATAGATTATATAAAGTAAGAAAAGGCAGACAGAAGGAATACTTTGCCAAAGAAAAGCAGTCCTAATTCAGCAGGAATCGGGACAAACCAATTTATAGTCCCATTTTCAAATTAAACTACTTGAGAAGAGAAAAACGTTATTGAAGACCACTTGTTCAAATCCTAACCTAAAACATGGGCAGGACAATTCTATAACGTCGCGTGCTTATATAAAATGCATACAACGCCATGTAACAAGCCCTACACCGAGTTTCCTTGAGAAGAGAAAAACGTTATTGAAGACCACTTGTTCAAATCCTAACCTAAAACATGGGCAGGACAATTCTATAACGTCGCGTGCTTATATAAAATGCATACAACGCCACGTAACTCCAGCCCTACAGACCGAGTTTCCTATTGACTCTTCCCGAGATAACCATCTAGTATGCTTTTACCCATTTTTTGTTGTTGTTGGCAACTGTTCTCAACAATGAGTACCTGGGGATATGCTAGGGAAAGCAGGCATCAAAAGGCAAGCGGGGAGCGGTTCTCCTCATTTCCTTTTGTCCTGCAAAGTCTTCTCCTTCGCTTCCCCCTCGCGCCACTAAAAGCAGCAGGTGGGCTTTCAGAGAGCTGCCTCTCCAGCACCGTCCCTGCTACCGAATTCACTCATTGCTACAGAATAATTGTGGGAGGGCAATTCATCAGCAATTGCAAAGCTATTTGAGATGGTGGGATACGGGGTGTTCTAAAAGTGAAAAGGACTGTTGTTCTGTCATACAAAGGAGTTTACAACCTATTCCTCATTCAGCTCTCGGCGCCCTAATAAAGCGGCAGCAGAACAGAATACATAGGATTGTGCTAGAGGGTGAGCGAGAAGGAACGGACAGAAGGCAACTGGGCAATTCTTGACAAAAAACTGAGGTCTCTGCTGTTAAGCACCACAGTCGGTATACACGACAGTAAGGGCTGTGCTACCCCATTTCTCAAATTCACACTGATAATTTTACAGGTCTGGTTACGTGGGACGCCGTGCTGATCCACATCTGGCTTCACATCTTAAGGACAGTTAGTGGCAATGACGAGATGCGTTGGTCTCCCCAGGACGCGTAAGCAGAGGTATGTCATTCCAGAGCACGAAGTAAAGAGTTCGCTGTAATCCCACACTGGGAATCCACAGGCACAGAGAGACCGCTTGAACTCTGCGTGCGCCAACTGAAGGTCACTGTAACGCTTTGGACTGGTGCTTCTGTGTATGGTGGGTGCAGGCGGTGGGGAACAAAAGGTGCAACAATATTAAAAATATACCTTCGACATCCTTCGCCCTGCCTGAGACAGGCCATCACATGTCAGAAGATGAAGTGCTCAAAATTTAAAAGGAAATTAATCCAAGCCACGTGCTTGAACACGGACCGTGCTACATTACTGGCAGCAGAGCTCCCAGTTGCTGCTACGCTAGAAGAAAGAGGAATCTTCTCAGTCCTCTCTTCTTTCCACGCCTCACTCCAAGTCATTGTAGCAATGCTCCAGTGAGAACAAATACACACTAAACAGAAGACAGTTCACGAGCATGTAAAAAAAAAACCCCCCCAAAACAGTGACAGACAGTTTAGGAAAAAATGATGATGATGATAATGAAAGGACATTGCTGCTAGACCCAAGGCAGATGGTGTAGTCAGTGCATCTAACAGCAAGCCCAGCCTGGCGGGGTCGTCTCTTTTATGTTAATATAATCCCCGCTCCCGGCAGCAGAGGAACTTCCATCACCAGTGGATGAGGACATCATCTTTTCAATCAGGACTCTAGAAGACAAACGTATGTGAGTTTGTTTTGGTTTTTTTTAAACAAGCAGCATTGGGCCACACAGTTTTTCAGCAGTACAAAAAAGAAACAGCAATTCATTCTAGAAGGACACAAAACTCCAGAATTTTAGTGACTAAACAATCAGGTTAAGGAACCTCACAGCACTGACAACAGCATTACTGCTATTACCTGGCAGCATCCGAAGACCCTGCAGTGACCGGATAACTAACAACGCCTACTGCAACCACCTCACCTCGGGTCCAGTTTAGGACTGGGACACAGCAACAGGCCTCCGAGGTACCAACTGCCCAACCTCAAGATCAGGTGCGAATACCCAGTCTAACACCTTTCAGAAAAGGCCAAATTCTCCATCAAAGGACTGGTGCATCACAAAAGAATTTCTAGTATCTTTGCACAAGAAGTCCTACCCTCCTGGTAGAGGCCAGCGTATGAAAAAACATCCCTGGTGTTGTTCAAAGAATTTCTGTTTCCAAAAGCATGTCAGAGCTTAACCAAGGAGAGAAAAACTTCTGACCTTTCAGAATTCAGTTTCCTTTCGGGAGATTTACTTGCGAACTATTGCTGCCATTTATTATTTACTGACAGCATCTCCCCTCACCTCAAAGATGTCCGTGTCTGAAAGAGGGAATTAACTCTTGGATGTATCGCCAGTCATTCTGCCTACCTCATGGACTCATTAATATTCTTGTTTTCCTTGACAGACGTCTCCACCCAACCAGAAAAGCCATTTTCTTTGCTGAACCGATCCACTTCGTCTCTTGTCACTGCCCATGGGGAAAGGTCGCACTGTAAAACAAGAATCAGTCATTTTAAGTTTAGCCTTTTAATTTTTAAGCTGGGAGGGGAATTCTCCCCCTCAGCCATTTGCTGCCTGTGTGCAGGCAGGCAGGCAGCAGGTAGGCTCAGCCCTTCACATCTCCCAGATCGCAAGCTGATAGAGAGTTCTTAGGGCAAGGTTCTTAATGGGATGTTGCAAGCAGCAATATATTTATCTCATCTGAGATACTAACACACCTCAGTCAAGCATGTACGGAATGGAGGTTCATCCAGCAGAGGACAAGAAAGCATTGTCGCTCATCCAAAATTTGCCCGGCCTCTCAGCAGCAAGGAAACGCTACTGGTGTGGTGCCACCGAGGCAGCCACGCTGATGCCAATGGGACGTACAAAGAGGCAGTCAGAAAACCTGTCCCATAACAGCTTGTATTAGTGTGACTGCAGTGCGTACAGTCACACAGATTTCCCTAATGCAGGCAAAATTGCTACCTTAAAACAGCTACCGGGGGAAAGCATTATTTGTGAAGAAGTGGAGAAGAAAAGCCGCTCTCCTGCCCACCCATCACGTTTTTGAGCCATCTCCAGTTTCAGGCTCTCTCAAACCAGGCAAGTCTCAAACTGAATCTGGAAAGGGCTGCTGAGCCAACGCTGGCACGTGAAGAACATAAAGGTAGTTTTTAAACGAAAGAAAAATAAATCATTAAAAGACAGCAACCAATCTACACAGTGAAACTTGACATTGCATCCAAATGAAAACTAGACATCCCTCTGGCAGCTCTGAACAGAAACTTTACCTGCAGCGTCACACACAACCTTCCCAGGCTACTGCAAGTTAGAGACCACAAAAAAGAAAAAAAAAAAAAAAGCTTTATAGCCCAGGAGCTACAGAGCTCGAGCTCCGACAGCACAAGGCACTGCATCCTAGGACAGAGGAGTTGTTAACATCTCCTTAGTGCCATCCGTGTATTAACTCCTACCAGTGTCCTAGTTAAGGAGGAGAATCCTTGCTAGAGAAAGAAAATTCAAGGAAGAGTCAAGGAAAGGATTAAAAAGACCACAGGCTATGGGACAACTCTGGGCCAGGCTTAGTGCTAAAGGGGTCTCCTTCCATTGTGCACGCCCTTGCACACACACAAACACACAGAGCGCGTCTAGAGCTGCTCACTTTGTTAGCCAGCAGTAGGCAAGGCACGGGGTTCCCGTCCGGCAGCATGAGCTTGCTGTCCAAATCCTGCTTCCACTTCTGGCTGTTGCTGAATGTGCTGATGTTGGTGACATCAAACATGATAATGCAGGCTGACGCCTCCCTGTAGTACAGCCGGGTCATGGATGTGAAGCGTTCCTGCCCTTCAGGATCAAAAGGAAAAAAAACCACCCCACCCCCGAGTTACCATTTTTAGATTTGTTCACGCAAATGATGCTCATCATGGTACATCGTTTTCTCAGCTGACACTAACAATCTCCACTTAAATAATGAGGAAATACAGGCATTGGGATGCGTCCTGCCTGGGGTACCTCAGCAACGCAGCGACAGAACGGGAACAAACTGGGGAGTTCTTAATCCTGACCCAGACACTCAGATGTCCCAGAAATACTTGCATTACTCCCAGTGTAACAATTTAAATTTAGTGTCCCCGACCACACGTTCACCTCCCCCCGAGCAGAATCCTGCCAGCAGCAGGGTGCCTGGCCACCACCAGCCGTCCCTGCTCCGGCAGGACCGTGCCACCAGTGCGGACTCGTGCTGCTGCCTTGCTGCGGGCACAGCATTACAGACCAGGCTCTCCGGAGGGAGAAATTCGATACTAAACAGAAACCATTAAAGCTCACATACACTGTTATTACTGTTTAAACCTTATGGCCTGCCTGTACCACCGAAACTGCATCCAGAGAGTAATTCCGCTGTGCTGCTGCGTGGTTTGATTGCACTTGTGTAGATGGGACACACCACAAAGCATTCACATCGCGTCAGATGGGTCAACGACACGGTGAAAACCAGCATTTCTGACACTGGAGAGATTTCACTGTGGGCTCCCATGCAGCCCCATAGCTGGTCAACAGGCTTTTTGCTCTGAAGCCATCGAGAACTGAGCACTTTGAGTTACCTCAAACCATCTGACCTTCTTTGCACACCTCTGAGGGGGAAGGCAATGCAGCAGGGACTATCGGTGTGTGCATCCCCTTCTGCTCGGGGCACGACAAGAGCACTGTGACCAGCATGGCCGGTCAAACCTTAAATTTCCAAACCTTAAATGCCTTTTCTGGGCTGAAATTGAAATCAGTTTCTTGCTGCAAGCCTCTTGCTGCAAACTTCTCCTTCCTGTTTTCTTTTTAAGGATTCCAGACGCACGCGTCTGAGCAGCGAAACCGGAGGAAACCACAACCCTGTTTTCCTCACCCCTCTAGATCCAGAGGTGCCATTTTAGAGTCGCTACTGCACCGGCCTGTCCTTGGTCTTCTGCTGCTAGGGAGATTCGGGAACTGCGTTTCTCTGCACCTCTCTGGGGAGTGGGTGCTCCTCACTCCACTGCACCGCATACAACGCTGTCCCCCGGAGCGTGCCCCACTTCCGAACCAGCCCCACCACCTCAGGGGCACCCAACGGTCTCCTCTTGCCATGACTGCTCCCGAGGGAACCGCTGGCTCTGCTCGCACAGGTCACTGAGCAGCCAGATCGCAACCTCCCAGCCCCACTCCTGATCCCGGCAGCCAGAGCAGCGCCAGGTCAGTGGAGCTGCTCCACGCTTAGACACAAGGATCAGGCCTTCCTGGCTATCACGCCAGAAATCAGGGTTTTAACAGAAGACTCAGAGCTGAGAAGTTACACATCCAGCTACAAATCAGCCAAATGTTTCCCCATTCACTCTGCTCTGGCTTTGAAATTGAAAAGAAAGGCTCGATAGGATTTATCATCTGCACTGCTGTGTTCTTTGCAGATGGGCTTTTGATTAAATATTTAAATTACTACTGCAAACTAGAGACAGCACTGCAAACCAGAGCGGTCCTGCCCCTTGGATCCACAGGCTTTTAGGATTTATTTTTGTAGCAAACTCCTACTGAAAGAAAGAAAGAAAAAGGGGGGGGGGGGGGGGGTTGGGG